TACAAATCCTGGCAGAAATCAGAGGACTCCTTGCACATCCAATCCTCACAATCTGTTCTGAGCCCCAAGCCAGCCCACAGAGTTGTACTGTGATCAATGAACGTAACTACTACTCCAGTGCAGCTGTTGGTCTGTACACTTGCTTCCTGCTTCAAAGGGCATTTTTCATCAATCTAAAAAAAGCTTCAACACTGATTATGTCCAAACCAGAAATATAACATTAGGCAAGTTAGATTAACCCTAACATCATACAGTTTAGCTTAGCATATAGCCATTTTTTCTTAGAATGCATAAATTCAAATATGAAATATCTCCTAGGGCAGTGGTTCTCAACCTGTGAATCTCCAGATGTTTTGGCCTTCAACTCCCAGAAATCCCAACAGCTGGTAAACTGGCTGGGATTTCTGGGAGTTGTAGGTCAAAACACCTTGGGACCCACAGGTTGAGAACCACTGACCTAGGATATGATTCCAGGATCCCTGTGGATACCAAAAACTGTTAAGTCCCATTAAATACAATATAGTAAAATGTTGTCCCTTATACAACATGAGAAAATCAAGATTTGTCTTTAGATATTTCTTTTTTTTTTGGGGGGGGGGGGGGAAGATATTTTCAAACCATAGATGGTGGACTCCATGGAAAGAGCCAACTGTATTCCATTTCAAACACTTTGCTATATAAAAAAAGATCGGGTGTTCTGGCTATCTACACTGCATGCTTGTCACTGGTAACTGCTGAATTGGTATATTTGTCTAAGGTGGCTTGAAACAAGATCAAGAAATCATCACAACTGTAGTCAAAATTTCAGAATAAGAAGAGAAACTACAAGGCTACCAGGAAGGCCACTCTGATGGCTGTAAGAGAGTCAAACTGATCAGGATTATGAATATCTCAAACACTGACTTGGAAACAAACTAACCCAAATTGAGAAATTCCTACTTACTTCGCCATGTTTAACAAGATGAACTCTGAAAGAAGCTTTTATTATTTGTATTAGTATACCTAAAATGTCCAGAATATGGTGCTACTTCAGTAACGAACGGTGCAGGCAACATAACTGTCTATCAAAGTCTTAAAAATCCTGACAGTTATTCCCCCACTCCTTTGTTTCTCCTAGTGGAAGACTTCCTTTACTTTATATTATTTAGTATCAAATTCACTGTTTCAAATCTAATACAGCAATTGGTTTCTATCAGCCTCAGGAAAGTAAAGGCACCCCGCCCCAAACAAATCTTCCCAAGAGAACCCTGTGGTATGTTTGCCTAAGGGTCGCCATAAGTCAAAAACAACTTGAAGGCAAACAACAATAAACTAGGTACAGTATACTAGCTTCCTAATAAAGAATATATATATATTCCCACTTACAAAGATCATGTAACTAATTCACCATCTTACACATATTTGCCAAAAGACAGCCAACAAGTGGACATAATGTAACCCTGATCTGACTCACATAATCCCTTTGAATGTATGCACTTGAAACTCTAACCCTATATTCAATTTAAAATGAAGAATTTACTGTAGAAACTTCACACCACACAAGACACCCTTGGTTAATTCAAATTTTAGTTTTGCCTACAGTAAAATTAAATGAGGCTGAAATAGACTTGTTGGTAACTTAAATCCCACTGAATTTATTGGATTTGGTCTGGGTAAAACTATTATCAGATTTAGACCTCAGTATCTGCCATGGTAAATAGTATATGATGGGTTTGCTTCTCTAATGTGCAAGAGTCCTACAGTTCAAGGCCATCACCTATTTTACCGATATACATCTATGCTGCATACATTATCTTTTATTGCAGCAAATCAGTGGAACTACTGCTATAATATGAGGGAACAGCAAAAACTCCCATACATATTTACTGAAAGGCATACATATTTACTTGAAAATGTAAATGAAATAAAGCTTGTAATATTAAGACCAGGTATAGTTAAGTAGTCCCAACACTACACCCTGTTTGGGAACTTCCATCTAACTTGCAATAGGCTTGAATCCTACTTGGTACCTAGTAGAGTAAAGTCACTTAAACAATACCATTTACCTTTATGCTGACTTGCTATTCAAAAAGAGGCTCAATGGGTCTACTCTAGTAGGGATTACTTTACATGACACAGGCTAACAAAAGCTTTCAGCAACACAAAGAGTGACCAATTTATTGTCGAAGGCTTTCATGGCTGGAATCACTAGGTTCTTGTGGGTTTTTTCGGGCTATAGAGCCATGTTCTAGAGGCATTTCTCCTGACGTCAGGAGAAATGCCTCTAGAACATGGCTCTATAGCCCGAAAAAACCCACAAGAACCTAGTGACCAATTTTCTGAAATCCCCTTGTTACTACAACCCTCTATTCCACCCTTCAATCTTCTCCACCAGACTGTGAGACACATGCCCACCCCAACAGATTCTGAAGTGGGAGGCTGGGAGGGGAGCAAGCTGCTAAAAATCACCTTTCTGTGTTCCCATCTACATTGACCATTTGATGCAGTTCAGAGCTAGCTTCAAACTGCTGCAACCAAACAACAAACTCTCACCAAAATGTGCCAAAGAAAAACCTTAATGCACACCAGTGCCATAGGTTGTGTATTCACCATTAAACTGGTTCCAGGAATCCCTATGTAATTATCTGCACAGCAAAACCACTTTCTTCAATACTAGCTTGACATTTCATTGAATAGTCAGTTTAGATGGGGCCTATATGCTCTAAATATTCTGCCAATGAAGAGAAGGATTCTACCCTAAGAACTCATATAAGTGAGTATTCCTAGAATAACTTTATCACAAACATAAAATGGCTGTTATTTCAAAGATACTCAAAACCAGCCAGGGTACATGGGAACTGGGTTACTGTGAGCTTTCCGGGCTGTATGGCCATGTTCCAGAAGCATTCTCTCTTGACGTTTCACCCACATCTATGGCAAGTATCCTCAGAGGTTCTGAGGTCTGTTGGAAACTAGACAAGTGGGATTTATATATCTGTGGAATGTCCAGGGTGAGACATTCAAAGTGGCCAATTGCAACATTCACACTTGTCTGCTTGAGGCTAGAGTGAATGTTGCCATTGGCCACCTTAATTAGCATTGCAGCTTCAAGGCTTGGCTGCTTCCTGCCTGGGGGAATCTTTTGTTGTGAGGTCTGTTTCTGTTTTTTTCCTAATATTTTTTCCATCAAATTAATCCAAGGTGGAAAAGTTGTTGCTATTGTTACATCACTGAGGACCAGGAATTCCTGTTGATCTACTGTAAATCTCCTGGAGATCTAAGCAGGAGTTGGCAACTGTACTTCAACAACCACCCGGTCAGACTACACAGATAAGCCACTGAAATCCACAAGCATGTGTACAACTTCAACAGAAAGGAGGAAACAATGAAAATGAACAAAATCTGGCTACCAGTATTTAATAAATTTAAAATCAGGACATCAAGACCAATATTAAAAATACAGGGGAATTCCAGACAAGAAACAATCAGGGCCAGCTAACGCCACCCAACAAAGGATTCTCCCAGGCAGGAAGCAGCCAAGCCTTAAAGCTGCAAGGCTATTCAATGCTAATCAATTGCAGCATTCACATTTGCCTCAAACAGACAAGAGTTTTTTTCTCACATCCTGGACATTCCACAGATATATATAAACCTCACTTGCCTTGAGTCGCCTGTGGGCTGAGAAAGGCGGCATACAGTAAATAAATAAATAAAATCGTTTCCAACAGACCTCACAACCTCTGAGGATGCCTGCCATAAATGTGGGCAAAGCGTCAGGAGGGAATGCTTCTGGAACATGGCCATACAGCCCAGAAAACTCACAGTAACCCAGTGATTCTGGCCATGAAATCCTTCAACACACTGAGGTAAAACCAGTGGTTCTTAACCTGTGGGTTCCCAGATGTTTTGGCCTTCAATTTCCAGAAATCCTAACAGCTGGTAAACTGGCCGGGGGTTCTGGGAGTTGTAGGCCAAAACACCTGGGGACCCATAGGTTGCGAACCACTGATCTAGAGCGTCCTAGTCCTCCTCCTCTCCATATGACAAAGTGGAAAGGTGTGTCTTAAAGAGTTTTTTGAAAGAGAAAAGGGGCGAGGGCATTTTTATTTCTTTGGGGAGGGATTCCTTAATATTGTAGGCATACTCAGATATAGTTTGTATACTTTAATGTTGCTTAAAGTATAAATTGTTTTAGCTGTCTCTTAACCACCTTCAGTTTTCCTTTTTTTAAAAACAAATTGGGGAGAAGGGGAGCGATAATGGAGAAGCCCCCGCCTCTCGTTCCCACCAACCGCCCTTGTGACAGGGTGGGACCAAGAGCAGTGCATCCTCCACTGATCGCGGTGCAACCACAGTAATTCCAGCCATGGGACAATACATGGGAGCAGTATTCAGTGCTTAGGAGGCAGCAGATGGACTGGGGAGATGGGGAGCGATCATGGAGAAGCCCCCGCCCTCATTCCCACCAACCGCCCTTGTGACAGGGTGGGACCAAGAGCAGTGCGTCCTCCGCTGACCGCAGTGCAACCACAGTAACTCCAGCCATGAAAGCCTTGGGACAATACATGGGAACAGTATTCAGTGCTTAGGTGGCAGCAGATGGATTGGGGAAATGGGGAGCGATCATGGAGAAGCCCTCCCCCCTCGTTCCCACCAACCGCCCTTGTGACAGAGTGGGACCAAGAGCAGTGCGTCCTCCTCTGACCGCAGTGCAACCACAGTAATTCCAGCCATGAATGCCTTGGGACAATACATGGGAACAGTATTCGGCGCTTAGGTGGCAGCAGATGGATTGGGGAAATGGGGAGCGATCATGGAGAAGTCCTCCCCCCTCGTTCCCACCAACCACCCTTGTGACAAAGTGGGACCAAGAGCAGTGCGTTCTCCGCTGACCACGGTGCAACCACAACAACCCAGTGATTCCAGCCACCAAAGCCTTAGGACAATACATGGGAACAGTATTCAGTGCTTTGGAGGCAGCAGATAGGATTGGTTGCCTGCAAAGACCTCTTTGCTATTACCTGCAGCTCACACCAAGCCACCTCCACAGTGGTCTCTGTATCCAATCCCTTGTAGACAGTCTTGAAGGAGCCCCTGCCAATCTCAATATCGAACTTGAGGAAGCGCCCGTCGGGGGAGACGGCGACGGCTTTGGTCTCCAGCTCCTCGGTGTCTTCCTGCTCCTTGTTCCTCTCGTCCTGCTGGTCCCGAGCCGAGGAGGTCAGGCTCCCGGCTGTGCTGGTGGCAGGCAGCGGGGCGGCCTCCTCTGCCCCCTCCTCCTTGGCAGCCAGAAGTGGGGCTACTACTTCCTTGGCCACTACGGCCTCCTCCTCCTCCTGGCCAGGTGGAGGCAAAGGAGGAGGCGCGGGAGGCTGGGCAGTGGGGGCCTGGGCGACAGCCTTGGCCTGGGCAACAGACTCTGGGGGAGAGCCCAGCACTGGAGGGATGCTGCTTTGGGAAGAAGAAGAGCAGGAGGAGGCAGCAGTGGCGGCGATGGCGGCCACGGGAGGCGCCGCGGGCTGCAGCCTGGGCAGCTCCAAAGCGGTGGCATTGGAGTCGCAAATGACACTCCGGCGGAAAAAGCGGTGCTCAGTGGCGGCGGCTCCGCGGCTGTCTTTGTCCATGGTGTGGCGGCGGCGGCGGTACTCCTCGCTGCGGCCTTCGGGGCTGTCGGGATCCCCGGTGGAAGTAGTTGTAGAAGAGGAGGACACAGCCATGGTGATGGTGGAGGTGGCAGCCGCCGTCCCGAGCTTCTCCCCGACGGAGCTGTCCGAGCTGGAGCCGTTCTTGGGCGGAGGAGGAGGAGGGGGCGCCAAGAAACCATTCTCAGACATGATGATACCTGCGAGGAAGGAGGAGGGAAGGAAAGGAAGGGGCCTCAATGGGCTGCCTCGGCGGGCGGCTCTAAAGGAGGCTTCCCTCTCAAGGCGGAGAGGAAGGGCAGCAGCAGCAAAGGCGGCGGCTGCTGCTGGAGGAGAAAGAGGAGAAGGAGGAGATGAGGAAGAAGGAGGAGAGAAGGGGCTCCGCGGGGGTCAGCGCCCGCATCCATCATCCTGCTGCAGAGAAGAGCCGGGAAGAGAGGCCGACATGGAGCAAGAGAGGGAGAGAGAGAGGAGGCGGGCAGGCAGGCAGGCAGGCCCCGGCCTCCAAGGCAGGCAGGCCTTCTCCTTCCTTCCTCGCGTTCCCTCAGAGCCAGTCACTGAGTGAGTGGGTTTCCCGCCGCTGAGGAAAGACGACAACGTTCACACAACTGACGAAGGAGGCCGAGTCCTGAGAATGGCTGGCGGGCAAGGGAAGGGGGAAAGCGGCCTGCCAAGTCCCCTCAGAGTGAGAGACAGAGAAAGGGACAGTCTGGCCTTCTCCTTCCTTCCTTCCTTCCTTCCTCCCTCGCTTTCCCTCAGAGCCAGTCACTGAGTGAGTGGTTTCCCGCCGCTGAGGAAAGACAACAACAACGTTCACACAACTGCCGACGACGGCTGAGAATGACTGGCGGGCAAGGGAAGGGGGAAAGAGGCCTGCCAAGTCCCTTCAGATTGAGAGAAAGGGCCAGTCTATCTCTCTCTCTTTCTTTCCCTCAGCCAAGTCCCTCAGAGTCAAGAAACCGGCCTCTCTTCGACGCCTCCTCGGGGTGAGCAGGCCTCTCCCTCCCTGAGGGGAGCACACTCTCTCGTTTTCCCCTCAGCTTCCTTCCTTCCTTCCTTCCTTCCTCCGTCGTTAACCCAAGCGATGCTGAGACTAAACCGGGCTCTCTTCGACGCCTCCTCAGGGTGAGCAGGCCTCTCCCTCCCTGAGGGGAACACACTCTCTCTCGTTTCCCCCTCCTCAGCTTCCTTCCGTCCTCCGTCGTTAACCCAAGCGATGCTGGGACTCTCTTTCTCTCTCTCGACGACGACGCCTCCTCTTTTCAACTCTGAGGGGAAAGGAGAAAAAGGAGGCCGCTCTCCGCCTTGACGACGAAGCTCGGCTTTTCCTCCTCCTCCTCCCGACTCTTCTCCTGAGGCAGGTCGACGGGCCTCTCTCTTGTCTCTCAATCTCTCTCTCAATCTCTCTCTTCCTGCCGCCTCAGCCCAGGCGAGCGAACGCGCCGCGCTAAATGGCGACTCTTGTGTGTGCTCGAAACCAACACTCCCCTTCCTCTCGCTCGCGCGCGCACACACACGCAAAAACGCACGCACGCGCGCGTACGCACACTCTCTTCCACTCAGCCAGCCAGCCAGCCAAAGAGAGAGAGGCAGCTTCGAAGGCCACGCCCTCTCTTTTTTCCCCCTCCCGCGCTCTCTCGCGCCTGCGTCGATACCACCCCTTCGCAGTGCGTTGTGGGAAATGGAGTTCAAACTACGTCCGAGTTGAAGGCGCCGCAAGGGAAGTGCACACTACGAGTCCCGTGGTGCATTGCGAGGGCGGCAAGGACTTAAAGGCGCTGTAATGAAACGGGGAGGTGGGAAGTGTAGCTTCCCTGGTAGAGATGATGATCATAGAATCATAGAATCAAAGAGTTGGAAGGGACCTCATGGGCCATCCAGTCCAACCCCCTGCCAAGAAGCAGGAATATTGCATTCAAATCACCCCTGACAGATGGCCATCCAGCCTCTGTTTAAAAGCTTCCAAAGATGGAGACTCCACCACACTCCGGGGCAGAGAGTTCCACTGTTGAACGGCTCTCACAGTCAGGAAGTTCTTCCTCATATTCAGATGGAATCTCCTTTCTTGTAGTTTGAAGCCGTTGTTCCACATCCTAGTCTCCAAGGAAGCAGAAAACAAACTTGCTCCCTCCTCCCTGTGGCTTCCTCTCACATATTTATACATGGCTATGATCATCATCATCATCCCCTGCTTGCATGCTGGTCGCTTCTGTGGTCGCTGCTGTCTTCATAGACCTGTCCGCAGCCTATGATACTGTGAACCACCGCCTCCTCCTGAGAAAAATGTAAAATATCACAAAGGACTACCACCTCATAGGAAACCTGCTACAAAACAGGAGCTTTTTTGTTGAGTTCCAGGACCAGAGAAGCAGATGGCGGAAACAGAAGAACGGCCTGCCTCAGGGGAGCGTGCTTGCTCCATCCATGTTCAACATCTACACAAATGACCAGCCACTGCCAGAAGGGACAGAGAGTTTCATCTATGCTGATGATCGTGCCATTACTGCTCAAGCAGGGAGCTTTGAGATGGTTGAACAGAAGTTTTCCAAAGCTCTAGGTGATCTAACTGCCTATTACAGGGAAAACCAGCTGATCCCCAACCCATCTAAAACACAGACATGTGCCTTTCATCTCAAGAACAGAGAAGCATCCCGAGCTCTGAAGATCACCTGGGAAGGAATCCCACTGGAGCATTGCAGCGCACCCAAATACCTGGGAGTCACTCTGGATGTGCTCTGACCTACAAGAAGCACTGCCTGAACATCAAGCAAAAAGTGGGTGCTAGAAACAATATCATACGAAAGCTGACTGGCACAACCTGGGGATCACAACCAGATACAGTGAAGACATCTGCCCTTGCGCTATGCTACTCTGCTGCTGAGTATGCATGGCCAGTGTGGAACACATCTCACCACACTAAAACAGTGGATGTGGCTCTTAATGAGACATGCCGCATTATCACGGGGTGTCTGCGCCCTACACCACTGGAGAAATTACACTGCTTAGCCGGTATTGCACCACCTGACATCTGCCAGGAAATAGCAGCCAATAGTGAAAGGACCAAGGCAGAGACATCTCCAGCTCATCCCCTGTTTGGGTATCAGCCAGCACGTCAATGACTTAAATCTAGAAATAGTTTTCTAAGGTCTACAGAGACACTCGCTGGAACACCTCAGCAAGTGAGAGTCCAAAAGTGGCAGGCTCAAACCCAGAACCTCAATCAATGGCTGATACCAAATGAGAGACTCCCCCCTGGGCACACAGAGACTGGGCGACTTGGAAGGCGCTGAACAGACTGCGCTCTGGCACCACAAGATGCAGAGCCAACCTTCAGAAATGGGGCCACAAAGTGGAATCCTCGACATGCGAGTGTGGAGAAGAGCAAACCACTGACCACCTGCTGCAATGCAACCTGAGCCCTGCCACATGCACAAACTCACAATTTTCTTACTTTGTCTGGTTTTTTGGGTTTGTTTTTTTTTTTGCTTTGTTCTGTTAGAAATGTAATATAATCGACTGGTTGCGCTGACACGATAAATAAAATAAAATCATCATCATCATCTATATAAATAAAAATGTAACTTTCGTTTGTGAGATTAACAGAACTCAAAAACCACTGGACGAATTGACACCAAATTTAGACACAAGACACCTAACAACCCAATGTATGTCCTTCACTCAAAAAAAATTGATTTTGTCATTTGGGATTTGTAGTTGCTGGGATTTATAGTTCGCCTACAGTCAAAGAGCATTCTGAACCCCACCAACGATGGAATTGAATCAAACTTGGCACACAGTTCTCCCATGACCAACAGAAAATACTGGAAGTTTCGTGGGCAGTGTCCTTTGGTTTTGGAGTTGTACTTCACCTAGTTCACCAGGTGTTTGGGACTTGAAAGAAAATTGGTACAAAATTATGTACAGTATCGATGATATGTAACTCCACAGAAATTGGCAAAATGTTATTCTAATTTACATGATAAATGCTGGAAATGTGAGGACCACGGAGGTTCCCTTTTTCACATGTGGTGGACTTGTAAAATAGCTAAAAACCTTTGGAAAGATGTACAAGAAATAATTCAGAAGATGTTAGACATAAAGTTGTAGTTAAAACGAGTACTTTTTATTGGGAATTTTAGACATAGAAATGGACAAAAATAAAGACTGACTGTTCAGTTACTTAGTAACGACAGCTAGAGTAACATGCACCCTACTTTGGGGAATAAAAGAAACACCTACAAAAGAAAAATGGATATCGAAAATAATCGACATGATGAATATGGATAAACTAACCCAATTACTAAATAAAACTATAGGTGGCTATAAGAAAACAACAGACTGGACATCAATAAGATACAAGGAAAAATAAAATTGCTCATAGAACCATATTGAAAATAAAGAGAAAAATTGTTACCCATTTATGATACTGAAGAGGCGAGAGCAGTATTGTGAAGATTTAAGAAAGGACAATCAAGACAACGGTGGAGAAGATTGGAAGTCTTTTTTCCCCCCTTTGCTATATCATTTCTTCCCACAATTCCCTAGTTTATAATTTTGTAGTTTAATTTTCTTTTTTCTTTTCCTTTTCAAGAATAAATTATTGTTAGTGCACTCACGTTAGTACTTCCCCGTTCTCACACACCCAAGGCCCCATTTTCTATTTTTAAGACATTGTAAATTAATAATAAAAAACATTTAAAAGACCACTTTAAAAAAAATGTGATTTTTATTGTAGCATAGTTTGGAGCCATTGCATATGAGATGTGTCTTGTCTTAAAAGATATCAGTGAGAGTCAGCTAGGAGGGAATGAAGTTTTACAACAATCTTTTGGGTTTTTTTATGCATTCAGAATATCACCTACAGTGCCTGGAATTTGTTGGCTCCCATCCAAATACTAACCATAGCTGACCTGCTTAGCTTTCAAAATCAGGAGGGATCTGGTGCCTTTAGAGCAGTGATTCTCAACCTTCCTAATGCTGCAGACCCTTAATATAGTTCCTCATGTTGTGGTAACCCCCAACCATAACATTATTTTCATTGCTACTTCATAACTGTAATTTTGCTACTGTTATGAATCGTAATGTAAATATCTGATATGCAGGATGTATTTTCATTCACTGGACCAAATTGGGCACAAATACCCGATACACCCAAATTTGAATACTGGTGGGTTGGGGGGGGGGGGTGATTGATTGCGTCATTTGGGAGTTGTAGTTGCAGGGATTTATAGTTCCCCTACAATCAAAGAGCATTCTGAACTCCACCAACAATGGAATTGAGCCAAACTTGGCACACAGGACTCCCATGTCTAACAGAAAATACTGGAAGCGCTTAGTAGGCATTGACCTTGAGTCTTGGAGATGTAGTTCACCTACATCCAGAGAGCACTGTAAACTCAAATAATGATAGGTCTGTACCAAACTTGGCACGGATACTGAATATGCTCAAATGTGAACACTGGTGGAATTTGGGGGAAATAGACTTCGACATTTGAGTGTTGCAGTTACTGGGATTTATAGTTCACTTACAATCAAAGAGCATTCTGGACCCCACCAACGAGAGAATTGGGCCAAATTTCCCATACAGAATCCCCATGTCTTGATGGCATGAGCCTCCCTCCAACCTCACACGCTCTCCCTTGCCCACACATGAGCACCACACAGCCATGCGCCGAACACACCTGCTCTCCCCTCCCTGCTTGGAGTCTCAGAAACAGTCCTCTCCTTAGCTGAGAGGCCAGTCAGTCACAGCGGAGGAGGGCTTTTGGTGGGAGGATCCATAGTATGTTTCCAAAAAGGAAGAGAAGGACAGGCGGAGAGATCTTCAGCCTTCTCTGGCCAAAGGGGTTTCTAAGACCATTAGAAATATAGGTTTTCTGATGGTCTTTGGCGACCCCTCTGAAACCCCCTTGCGACCCTTCCCCCAGAGGTCCCAACCCCCAGGTTGAGAAACACTGCTTTAGAGTAATTAGACATTTTAAAGGTACTGAACTTGTTGGTAAAGTTTTTTATAGCGCTTCATGTGAATATAATTTATTCCATATTTTTATGCATAATACTTAAAACAGTATGTGTTTGGGTGGTTTTGTTGTTGTTATTGTTGTTACTTCTGATTTCTTCAAAGGGCCATTTAGGACCTGAAATAAGTTTTGGAAAAGAGAATAAATTGTCTTCAAAATTTAGGTTTTAATGTTGTCAATTGTAAGGGAGCAGAGTGCAGTAGAGGCCTTGGCAGGCCATATGTTGCACTTTATACATTTCTGGTCTCACTAAAACAAAATTGTTATTATTGTGTATTTGGGTAAAATCTGTGACTTGAAGTATGTTTAAATTTGAATTAATTCTTTTGAGAACT